ATTGCAGTGTACATTACATAACAAATTTGATAACGAAAATAACAAAAATATGACGTTAAATAAATATCAACATTACAATGGTTGTGCCTATTGAAAAATGCTCTAGTCAATATATTTACCTAACCCGCCATGTTAAACTTCCCTATCCCAAGCGTGATGTATACAACTTCCTTACTTCTCGAGTGATGTAAAGTTGAAAAAAACTCACTCGGTGATGTAATGAAACCCATTTAAATAACATTGAGTGGATAACTTAAAAAATATACCTCCATGGAGCCAACGACGTTCAACGCTAGAAATCAGCTGTGTGTTTGAATTTTATTGTTATGCGTTGAAGAATTTTCCTAACCTAGCTTTTGTTTGTAAATGGACGTTACTGTTAGAAGATGAGTGAAATTGATAATGAAGTATATTGCTCGTAACCTCCTTAATATTGTCGGGCCAGGTAAAATTTTGTACGTTACAAGTTACGCAAGAGCGTGTTTACATCACTTCGGTGAATTATGCAACTCGCCTTCGCTCGTTGCACAACATTCACCTGCGTGATGTAAAAACGCTCTTACTACACTTGTAATGTAAATAGCTATTACTACGTAAGCCGATTATTTGCGTCAAAATTGTAGGCGACTGAGAAGTCCTAGAATGACGGGAGAGGGCTCAAATTAAAGGGAAAGGTCACAATACCGAGACGGCGGAAAAAATAGTGAAATTCCCAAAATTTTAACACAAAATTACATATGAAGTAAATTGTTCTCCATAAGAATAGCATTAGAAGTAATTTAATGCTGGTTTTTGTTTACTACAATAGGCTACGACTGATCGAGGCCTGAAAGAGGCCTCGTGCTTGTGGCAAAAAATACCATACATATAAAACTCTTGTCCCAACGTAAAATGTAGCTTGTAAAATGGTGTTGTGTTGGAGATTCAATGGAGTTCAAATACTTTTAAAAATAAAAACATTGCTCCGTTTATGTTTTACTAGCTTTGTGTCCGTTCTACGTACGGGGATCTTATCTTAGTCAGTTGAAACCTTCTTATATTAAGAACAGCAGTTGGTTTGCATAGTTTCAGATATCTGCATAACAAATATTTGCATAATTCAGCTACCAACTCGTCTAAGGCAAAAGAACCAGAACCAAAAACTAACGTTTACAGCAAAAAAATTAAAGTAAATAGACCAATTATATGCGTTAATCAAGTTTATTGATCTCTTATTGGTTTTGGATTTTCTCGTAAAAAGTTATCGGCAATCAATGTTATTTCACATTAATTGCTTTATTTGTAAACAACTTTTAATGTAAACTTATCAGTGTCAGTTTGAAAAAAAAAAACAACCTTATACAAACAACTTTTTGTCATTTAATAGATTACGTATTCTATAAACAATGATTGGTATAGAAGGAAACGTGACAAAAATCACACAACGTTGGGTTTTTGGACGTTTGTAATTTTATTTCTTAAGTAGGTAGGAGGTAGGCCGTGTATTCTAGGGAAAAGTACCGGTTATCACGGATTGTCGTCAAAAAGTTTGTTATGAATAATTGGGTAGGCGTACGTACCCAAAGGATGGGCTATGGGCCTATTGGCTGTATGGTCCAGCGATTGCATCACACGGTGAGTATGAACTATTGACTATTAAAGTCAATGGTATAGGAACAAAAAGTGACACATTAAAAAATCGAGTTTAGCATCATCCTTAAACCTCAGTTACAATCACCAACTGCAGTTGTGATTTTTTACTTTACACTTATTGAAGCGCCGTCAATGAGTGGAAACCTTGTTTCTAATTTATTGGTGTCGATTATTAATAAATTTAAGTTTCCCAGCCGTATACAAAACTGATTCAAGGTCTTCTTTCTGGTTATCAAAACTCAAGAACAATCTTATACACAACTAATCTCTGGTTCCTGACCTGGATGATGCCTAGTTATTTAATTTCATTTAAGTGGTTACACTATTTTATTGCACTTGCGATTAATTAAATCCGATATGCAAGAAAAACGTTTTTAATCTCACTTGGTTGGGATTTGCTTTTAAAATGTAATCGAAAATGGTTACGGTATTTGTAAACAACATTTGTAAACATATTAGTGACACCTAGAAAAAATTACCTTGATCCGAACAGCTGTTCGTTATTTCATAGATGATTATGTGATAAAAATTGGACGAAAACTTAACAAAAATCGCACAAAACTGCATTTTGAACGTCAGTAATTGTATTTACAAAGTAGTGAGGCCATATATTAATGGCTAAAAACACTCTCGCCAATCCAGTGAATACATTAAAATGACTTGGATCTTGATAGGTACTCTCGTTTTCCTGGAAAAGATAGCGTAAAATGCCATCTTGAGTGTTACAGACGGACAGCAGACAGACAGACAGACAGACGGACAGAAATAAAGAGATAAGACTCGTTTCTGCTTCTTTAATATTCCAAATTTTAGTGTGTTCCCTCAATTTCTTTAGACTGATAACACCCAGGCTTACGCACAGGCACCTGCCCATTAGTCAAATTTAGGCAAAGTAAGGCAAATTTTATCTTAAAAATGTTGTACTCTAATGTTTTATAGCTACTCTCTGTTTTAGTTTATTATTCTTGGGATAAATAAAAGTTTTTTATTTAGTTTTTCGTTTCATAATGTATAAAACGTAAAAACAACCTAAAAATATATTATTATGTGCAATGTACAGACAAAACTCGAACCTTTTATATGGATTTTAGATAGATTGGACGTTATTCTTTAAACTCTAAGTATATACCAATAATGATTTTAAGGGACAGAAATATATTATCCATTCAGTTTTTCAGTTTTATAAAAGGTTTAATAAAATAGTAATTATGCGTAAAAATTTGGATTTTTACGCCACGCCACGCTTCATGATGTCTGTTCAGCAGCAGCACAACGGACTCAGAGAACAATAACTGTACAAAATTACAACCTCGTGCTCCTCAAAGAGTGTCATGTCTATCACTGAAGACACAAACCATCCCCACAATGTACCATTTGGTAAAATTCTCTCTCTAAAATTTAAACGAACCAATCAGAATTGACATCCTCATAGGGACCGCAGATATTCTCTTATATCCCCACAGTTGATCATGAGGTACAGTTCTCTCTCTAAATTCAAAAAGGACCAATCAGGCCTCGTATCCCCATAAGGACCAAAGCTTTACTCTCTTTTCGGAGAGAGAAAACCGGCATCAGCGCAGCTCTGGTGGCCGCAAAAGCGAACTAAGTGTAAGGATCATAAGGTGCCTTGTGGGGATATTTTCGTTTTGCGCTGAAAGTGGCCAATTTACTCATTATTTTGAACGAATAATCCATTCCAGCCAAAAAAAAGACCTGGTCCTTATGGGGATATCCCCACAAGGACCAATAGCCCCACAAGTATACTTCAGGACGAGCGTATAGCCGCATAAGTGACCAGATAATAGAACTCTCTCTCTCTCTCTCTCTCCTGGCCACCACAAAAATCTATATAGCGCCATCTTACCAGTACCGTGTTCATGGAAATACATTCACTTATTTAACTAATAATAATAACGAACTATTGTTTTTTTTTAATCGCCATTCCAAAATTCAATAATTTTTCTTTTTTCTATTTGACAGCAACTTAGCAGACGTACAGGTAGCACTGCCTATGTCATCTGCTAGTTCCTTTATTTTATTGTTATATTTTTTGGCTTTATTAAAACTCGTATATATATTTTTAGTGACAAAAGTCTCTGTCTAATATACTTTATTTAGTTTATAATCACAGTTTGTAGCCAATGTTTTTTGGAATAAACTATATTCATTCATTCATATAAATGTTTATACATCGCTATTTACATCGTTATTTATGAATTTGAACTGAGGGTGTTTTTGGTCCCTGGGGACCTCAAACGAAAAAGTAAATCGGTCCTGGGTCTAGGTCTTACCATGAGACCTTCGGTAACAGCTTATTCCCTATATCGGAAATTCACTAAAAGAATACATTTCCAAAACTAATAATTACAGTACAACCTCGGTAATTCGAATTTCAGAGGAAAGACAATATATTTTGAATCATAGGAAGTTTGAAATAAAGAGAGTTTAAATTATAGAGGTCAGAATAAATAAAATTCTAATTATGGAGGTCCAAGTTTTAAGTGTGGAGATTTTGAGAGAACAGAGACGAATGAACACATTAGGACCATCAATAAGAGCATCAGTTCATGTTTCAACAGGCGTAATTTTTGTTCTAAATTCAAATTACAGAGGTTTACGGTGACACAGTTCGAATTGTAGAGGTTAACTTTGAATTTTGGAGGTAACAATTTGAGTTATGGCAACAAAATTTGAATTGCAGAGGCTGCATTAATCGCAAAAATCACTTCGAATTATCTGTCTATTTTTTTTCATTTTAGAGATTTTCTGAGGGAAACAGACAAACATTACTAATTATAGAGGTTTTCTAATTAGTCGAGTTTCGAATTAGTGAGGTTCTACTGTACACAAAATATAGAGAAATTTTTAACCAAATAAGAACTTAGGGTTCCTCAATCATTGATCTTTTAATTTAATAGGCCTAATTCAATTTATTCACAAATGAAAAAAAACTACTATCTGGTTTATTTCATATAAATAAACCAGTTTATAGTATTTTTCTTTAGTTCATAAAAGTTGGTTTTGGTAGTTGTTTACCTATTAAACAACTACCAAAACTAACTTAACTACTTTTACTGAAAACCTGTTTTAAGAGAAATTCAATTACATTACGTTAAACTTAAATAATAATTGTATGTCAAGTTTTATTTCAATCAATGCTACACTAACAGTGCATGATAGGCATTGTACAAATAAAACGCTAATAAAAGTTATTAGGATTGTAATCTTGTTTGGTCCATGATAGGATAAATAGGTACCGGTAGTTAACATTCGACATTACCAAAGCTAGCTTTAAGTAGTTGGGATTGTGTTTTGCCAGTGAAGCAGTACAACAGAATCATGTCTGTGATAAGCAAGTTCAGTAGGCATAGATAGTTTGTATGACTCACTGTAGGTGCAGCACTGTGTCATTGTCATCAATGGTTTGGGTCTGCCTCACCCAGTCACAGTATTCTCTCAAGCCTCAGCCTGTCAACATCATTTCTGCAGGTTTGTGTTCAGACATTGTACAATGCTCATTTTCATATTACATATATATAATTGTTATATAATATTTCATATTCTAGTACATTATAGGCTAACATGTATTCAGAAGTTAACAAAATTAGTCAAATTAATTGTTTGTTATTGGAAAAGTGTTAATATTTCAAGTAGATCTGAAAAGTTAACAAAATATTGTAGCCTACTGTCCATTTGAAAATTCTTTTGGTAGATTTAGATGTAGAGAGGTGAAGATTAGATGCAGAATTTCTCTTAAAATTGAATTGTAAGTTGGGTTACTGGTTAGGGTAAATCTAGTACGGTACCTATTTCTCTGTTTTTCCAGTTAGTTATTCCCAAAAATTACTGACAAGGCTACATCAAATCTTGTTTTCCTTTTAGCGAATTTCCCATATAGGGAATAAGCTATTACCGTAGCTTATGGTAAGACCTGGACCCGGGACCGATTTACTTTTTCGTTTTGAGGTCCCTAGAGGCCAAAAACACCATCCGTTCAAATTCATATATATATATATATATATACACACACAATACAATACAGTATAATATTCTATATTGTTCATTCGTGAAGAATTACAATAGTGTCAATACAATAGTGAATTGTAGGTGTTAATTTCCATAATTTTCGTAAAATTCCTTTATTGTGTAGAAGGGTCTTGCGATTAGCCACTTCTTCAACTCCTGGTGTAGCTTGTTGCCAGTCAGGTCTCTCAGGTAGTCAGGTAGATGGTTCCTCAGTTTGCAGCCGGTGTAGGAAGGTTTTTTTCCCAAAGAGTTGTTCGGTGAACTGGTAGGGTAAATTTGGAGCCATGATGGGTGTTGTAGTGGTGCAGGTCTTGGTTTCTTGGGGGGTTTATTTCATCCACATTCTTTATGGGTTTCAAGTATGTAGAGAGACACCACTGTGAGGATTCCTAGGTTTGCGAATGCTAGTCTGCAAGTCTGTGGTGGTACCATATCATTGATGATACTTTTAACTAAATATTACAGTTATCATTCCTTAAAAGTAAATTTCAGACAAATTCTGTAAAGGACTGGGAAATTTTAATTTAAAAATAGTTGACACCAATAGTCTATGGCTGAGCTAACTTAGATCATTTATTATCGGCGTTCCAACGGTTCTCTTTTCATGTCATTGGTCCAAGTAGAAAAAATGTGATCACTGAATATGATGATATTGTTGTCATGGTCGCTGGATTTATGATGAAATTGTTGTCATGATCGATCTAATGTCCACAATAATTGCTAGCACAACCAAGGGTGATGATTGAAATGTCAAAATATACTCACAGATGTTGCTGCGATTATAGGAGGTGATTTAGATTTCATTGTCATTGGAACTGTTGGTCACAATTGTTGGCTTTGGTTGTTTTAAACACATCACCAAAAAAATGTAAGCAAGTAAACAATAAAAATAACTCAGAATGGATAAGTATCTATTACCATATATAGGCGGTGAGCGTTAAGTCATGCCCCGTTATCCATGATATCTATTTGATCCATGGCAACAACATATATAAAATACAGTAGAACCCCGGTTAACTGAATTCCGGTTAACCGAAACCCGGGTTAACCGAAACGGTTCCATAAAAAATTACAGGGCTAAAATATAAGTAATACGTAAAGTAAAATGCTTTAGTCACTTCAGTTGTTTAGTTTAAAGTATTTTCTAACCCATTGTAACATTTATGTAGCTGGTATAAATCACTGTATTATATAGACATTGTTTTAAATTCATTTTTCCTACACACCGTGGTAATATAGGCTATTTTTAGCATATGACGGGTTAACCGAAAAATTGGTTATCTGAAACGGCTCTCCCCCCTTTATTTGTTAACCAGGGTTCTACTGTAACTTAAATAATTTTACGATATAAAAATAATTGTAGTTTTGTATAGGCTTAAGCCCCGTTCACACGGGGCGAGTTTACAAGCTACACGCCGGCTTTTTTACACGCAGCTAGTAAAATAGCTCAGTGTGAACGACGTACTTGCTCAAAAGCTGCTTGTAAAAAAGCTCTGGAAAAAGTTGACGCTGCCGCTACTTTACACGCCAACTCGCCAGCTTTTGAGCGAGTAGGCGTGTAAAGTAGCCCAGTGTGAACACAGTTGCTTGTGCTTGTGCGCTTGTTACTCAAAGATGTTGGAGGATTTGGTTCAAGCCAGCGACTGAGCGAGTGGAAAAAGCATCGTGTGAACGACTACAAGCGCACTCGCTGACTCGCCGGCGTCTTTCTACACGTCTGCGAGTTGGCGAGTGGACAAGCTCCGTGTGAACGAATACAAGCATACTCGCCAACTCGCCGGCTTCTTACACGCTGGCGTGTAGCTTGTAAACTCGCCCCGTGTGAACGGGCCTTTACACAACATTTAAGAAAGTAAAGTTTTGTTAATCAAATTAATGGTCTTGAGGATCTAAAGTACAGTAGACTCCCTTTTATCCGGACTCCTCGGGACCGAGGCCAGTCCGGATAACGGGTTTTCACACAAATATTTGGTGAGTTCACTTCAAGAAAACTAAGAGAGTTGCAAATAAAAGGATGTTATTATTTTCCACAAGCTAGGATATTTTTGCACCTCAGACATTGCTGCTAGATGTACAGCATCACAAAAGAATTATTCACTGAAAGCAACTAGCACTTAGAACTTCTATAGGCTACAAAATAAGTAAAACAAAATTTTGTATTCACACATGTAAACTGTCACATTAACCTACTCGTTAGTTTTGTCACCTCTCACATTTAAGATCACCTAAGATTTGGGAAGGTAGAATATAAGCTACAATAACTGTTAAAATGGATTGCTAATTTTGCATCATTTGAACGTCAATACTAGGGGTATGAGACTTTTTAAAGGATAGGACTTTTTTTTGGATAGGAAGTTGGCGTGGAACGATCACATCAGCAAAGTTAGTAGCAAACTTTTTAGGGTATGTTGCCTGCTGCTCAAGCTATGAAATTTCATTACTCAGCCATACCTGCTGAACATCTACCATGCTATGTTCCACTGCCATGTGAGCTACGGCCTACTGCTACTGCCTACGGTCATGCTGCGGATGTTGAGGACATTTTAGTGCTGCAAAAACGTGCTGTAAGACTCATTACTTTTAGTGACCGCATTGCCCACTGTAAACCCATCTTCGCAAGATTGGGAATTCTCACAGTTTACAGCCATTATATCCTGGCTTGCTCACTACTGGTATATGACAATTGCGACAATCTCCAACTCCGTTCAGCATTTCACAACCACCAAACAAGGCAGCACGAGCTACTGGATGTGCCTAGGGTGAGGCTTGCAAGATCGCAAAGGAGTTATAATACAGTGGCAATTCAAATTTTTAATGAGCTGCCTCACTCAATCAAGCGTCTTGGGCGTAAACTTTTCATGAAGAAGCTCGTCCCTCTCCTTAAGTCAAGAGCGTACTACTCACTAAAGGATTTTTTGAAGATAGTTTTCCTGAATTGTCTGACTAAACCGCATATCCACATGCCAAAGTTTTTGTAAATATTTATGTTTGTATCTTCTCGAATTCAGTTGTTTTTAAAAGTATTTTGTATATTGAAATTCTGACGCCATCAATCCCTTATTGGGTAAAAGATGAAGACATGGTAATAATAGTCTAGGCATATTAGGAAAGTTAGCAGAAAGATTAGGTACAGTCTTAATCATCACTTTTCTTTATGTTTTTTGGGTCGCTGAACACGAATATGAGGTTTGCTGACAGATATTTTGCCCGGAACATTGTTTATTTGGCGAAAAACCTAAAAATTTTTGCATTTTTTTTGTTTTTCAGGCAAATCTCGGTTTTTTTGGGTTTTTGAGGAGACCCTGCTTTGTAAAATTAAAGAAGACAAAATCTACTACAAGTTTCCTATGTAATATTTGTTTCTACGACTAAGGCCTCTTTTATGCACGGCGTTTTCGGTCGGGCGGAATCGATGTCCCTTTTATGCAGTTTCTCCGCCGAGCGGAATCCGCTGATGCCCTTGGTGGGGGTGGTCAGTGCTACCAACTTCGTTCATTTTGCCATCGTCAGTGACCCAAGATGGATCCTTGTGTATTGGTGTATACTTATTTGTACATGAAGAGAAATAGACGACGGCGAAGTCGTAGGGCGGATGGGGCTTTCCCAATAGGGTGTAGGCACAAACCTATATGGGTTGCTGCGAAATGATGGGGAAAAGTTTGAGAAGTTCCTACGAAACAGTAAGTTTGTATTATTCCGCGGATTTAAACAAAAATTTAATTAATTCTCATGCAGTATTTTTTCCCCTAATTACATCACATTATTTGTACTCTTCCATCAATTACAATGAATAATGATATTCTATTTACAATGATTACCGTAGGTGATTTCAATACTGTGGATGACTGAGCGTGGGGTAGGTTGGCAGCACTACATTCCGCCCGACGGAAAACACAGTTGCATAAAAGGGTTCCATTTGAACCTGTGCAAAAACACGCTCCACGAAACGCCGAAACTCGGCGGAGTCTAAGTCCTCCGTCGGCCTCCGACGGAATTCTGAAACGCGACGGAGATTCCGTTGTGCATAAAAGGGTCCCATTTGATCCCATGTTAAAACACTCACCGACGGAAAGCCCGATAGATTCTTATAGATTCCGCCCGACGGAAAACGCCGTGCATAAAAGAGGCCTAACCGTTACGCCACTAGAGCACACTAAAGATGGCCAGAAGTACCAAAAATGAAAATAAACCCTAACCATTTTACAAAGGTTTTACATTAGGTTTCCATGGAAACAACCCATGTTACGATAATTTGAACTATTTATTCATGATAATGAACTGAAACACACTTGATAAATCTATGCCAAGATGTATGACTGACTGCTGGGACATTTCCCGTTGCCACAAAACCCCCATTTATTTTCTCAGCACAGGGATGTTGCTGGCCACATGGTTGACTGCTATAGTGATTGAGAAAAAAGGATGAAAGACATTAAAAGAGTTAGATAAATTTAACTTTGATAACGTCAAATTCAGACGAGCAGACCGTGTCCAGCCACTTGCCATAATAAATAACGCGATGAAAGTAGAGAATTCTTACCCGTAAACCCCAACACATTGTTTCAATGTATCAGCATCGCAAAGAATTCTGATGAAGAACTAAAACATTCTTGTCTTACGAACTGGGTCCATACTCTTTCTCGTTGTTGATAATAACGGTTTGCACAAGGAACCAAATCAAATCTTTTTTAGGCCTAAAGCCCCTGTCCCCATTGAAAACAAGCACTTCCATGGTCAAGTGCAGTGTGTTATTGATGGTGGGTTCCTACTACACAAAAGTTATGGCCAGATCATCAACCTTTCAACCATCAAAAACCAAGCATCGACCAAGAAAAAGTTAATCGACAACATACTCACCACTCCTTGCCTTGCTATAAAGAAGAAAACTGTAGGCAGCTGAGAATATTCAAAGATAAACTTCCTCAGTTTCTTACCCTTGAGGAAGCCCCCCAAAGCAGAACAACGAGCGACGCTGCGACATTGTCGCGGACACGAAACGCCGAGAAACGCGGGCCTGCGGACACATTTACGGAGTCATAACGACGATCGCGCCGTGGCCGCGATTATTGGAACGACGATCGCACCGTGACCGCGAGTCATAACGACGATCGGGCTGTGACCGCGGAGTCATACCGACAGTCACGCCGTGACCGCGGAGTCATAACGACGATCGCGCCGTGACCGCGAAGTCCTACCGACGATCACGCTGTGACCACGAGTCATACCGACGATCACGCCGTGACCGCGAGTCATACCGACGATCGCGCCGTGACCGCGGAGTCCTACCGACGATCGCACCGTGACCGCAGAGTCATACTGACGATCATGCCGTGATGGCGGAGTCATGCTGACGATCGAGCCGTGACCGCGAGTCATACCGACGATCGCGCCGTGACCGCGAGTCATGACGACGATCGCACCGTGACCGTGGAGTCATACCGACGATAACCCCGTGACCGCGGAGTCATACCGACGATCGCGCCGTGACCGTGAAGTCATACCGACGATAACCCCGTGACCGCGGAGTCCTACCGACGATCGCGCCGTGACCGCAGAGTCCTACCGACGATCGCGCCGTGACCGCGGAGTCATACTGACGATCATGCCGTGATGGCGGAGTCATGCTGACGATCGAGCAGTGACCGCGAGTCATACCGACGATCGCGCCGTGACCGCGAGTCATGACGACGATCGCACCGTGACCGTGGAGTCATACCGACGATAACCCCGTGACCGCGGAGTCATACCGACGATCGCGCCGTGACCGTGGAGTCATACCGACGATAACCCCGTGACCGCGGAGTCCTACCGACGATAACCCCGTGACCGCGGAGTCCTACCGACGATCGCGCCGTGACCGCAGAGTCCTACCGACGATCGCGCCGTGACCGCGGAGTCATACTGACGATCATGCCGTGATGGCGGAGTCATGCTGACGATCGAGCCGTGACCGCGAGTCATACCGACGATCGCGCCGTGACCGCGAGTCATGACGACGATCGCGCCGTGACCGCGAGTCACAAGTTTCTATAGGTACCTGTAAATTGTTACCCATTTTTTGGTTTTTATAGATCAGTGCCACAAATGGTAAAAATTGATTTTGTATGTCTTTTTTGGTAACTGCAATACAGTACTTTTTTTTATGCACAAAAAAAATCCTGTCCCATACCGTCCCGAAAATCGGGAAGGAAATAAATATCCCGTCCCGTCCCGAACTAAAATTTCAATCCCGTCCATCCCTAGTGTGTTTATATAAAGAAACTATAGTACATTTAAAGTTTTACTTCTGAAGACCTTGTTAACACTTGTTAAGGTATGTGTATATATATACGTATTTAAAAAAAAGTAAATTTAAATAACCTGATTATGCCTACCCTTAATAGTTTTTTAGTTTTTTGTTTTAAAAGTAGGCTATACAAGTTATTGAAATTTACTTATTTTATTTAACTATATTACTAGTAGCCCTAAAGAGTGAATATATATATATATATACCGGTATATAAGTCATTATTTAGCTTTTTAGTTTTAGCGCTTGCGGACACATTTTGAGGTTTTCACAGGCCGTTGCAGACACGTAGGAACCATTCTGCTTTGGGGAGGAAGCCTTAGTAGCAAATGAGGATGTAGAAGAATATGATTTTTCTCTTCTCTTGGGCCCATCATAAAAAGGATGGATGGAATGCCAACCTTCAACCCAAAGAGAGTGAATTACATGATCCTACCAACCAATCTATTGCTATTCATGAGGTCATTAACATTATAAAAAAAAATTATCACCATTTTCCCCAATTTAATCTTAAAAGACGGGTATTTCTTTCAGGTGGAGGCTTATGGTCAGAGGACACACTAGTTTTGTTTATTTTTAAGTGTGTTTCAGTTTATTATCATGAATAAATAGTTAAAATTATCGTAACATGGGTTGTTTCCATGGAAACCTAATGTAAAACGGCAGCATTTAGCAATGTTTTTAATTTTTTGTACTTCTGGCCTTTTATAGTGTGCTCTAGTGGCGAAACGGTTCGTCGTAGAAACAAACATTATATAGGAAACTTGTAGTAAATTTTATCATCTTTAATTTTACAAAGCAGGATTTCTCAAAAACCCATACTTACCGATATTTGTCCGAAAAACCAAAAAAGTGCCCAAACTTTAAGGTGTTTCACAAAATAAACAATGTTCCGGGCAAAATATCTGTCAGCAAACCTCATATTCGTGTTCAGCGACCCAAAAAACATAAAGTAAAGTGATGATTAGGACTGTACCTAAACTTTCCGCTAACTGCCACTTATATTCCTAATATGCCTAGCCTATAAGGGTAGCCTATAAGTAATTTTCATTATTTATTTTTAATACTTAGGAATGTTGATTTTGACATGAGTACCGTAACATTGTTTGATCTTGTGTTACAGTAACGTTGCTGTTTGTTGTATCAATGATGGCAGCAGCTTTCCAACCTGTCCAACTGTCCAAAGAAGAGAAGAAAGCTCTTGACACAGTCAGTGTAGGCACAAACAAGTTTGCCATCAGTCTCTTTCGGGTAAACACTTGATTGAATCATAGGCCTACTTACAACAAATGTAAATAAGATCTTGCAAAGTTGCTTTTATGAGTGGAAAGAAAATCCATGTAAGCAGATAATGCATTGCTTGCAATTAGGTTTGATAAAAACTAATATCACCTAAAGTAGTATAAGATAAATCATTAATTTACTGTGGTTAACTTAACAGATTTATAAATTACGGAGTATCCAAAATTAAATAATATCAATAATTAGTAGGATTGTAAAATTAACCAATCTATGACACATTAGATAATAAGTGATACTATCTTAATATCACAGGAGAAGGCAAGAAAGCAGAATACGGTACTTTCCTGTTAAAGGGAACATTCATTATTATCGATTATTTTTTCTCGACCTATCGATATTAACAAATTGAAACATATCAGCTGACAACTACGATAAATAAACATTGTTCAGAATCAACAAACAATAATTTTAAAAAAATATTGAAATGAAACTGTTCTAAACTAACCTAACAAAACTAACCAAACTTGATGTAAAATTAGAAACTCCGTTTAAAATATTCCACTTGTCTTTTCTGTTACAAACGGAATTTTTAAATGATACAGCATGTTTTGTTGGTTATGTTAGGTTAGCTTAGAACAGTTTCATATCTAGACTATATTTTAGCCTAACGATCAGCTGTCAATTTGTAATGTATCGTAAAGGAAAACAAAATATCGATATATCGAAAAAAAAATCATCGGTAATAATGAATGTTCCCTTTAACAGGAAAGTACCCAGAATACTATTACAATTTATAAATTCACTGACACACAAAATCCTCATTCCTCTTATTTGCACACATATCAAATTTCCACTTGCCAATCACTACCTATTGATCCTACTTAAAATAGGAAGAAGTAATACTGCACTCTAAATCTGTTTAAATTTTTGTAACCGAGCAAGGCTTAGCTAATTCCATCCGTTTTTCATAGTAAGGAATAGTGAAATATATTTTAGAAGTTTATATTTATTTTTGCTTTTTGGGGCTACAGTTGTTGAGTTCAAAGTAAAATGTGGATTATAAGGGCTAATCCTTTTGACTCCTTTTAGTTGATAATCATTGTCTGGGTAGTTTTGCGTTATACTCACCTTCAATTCTTATTTTGTTGCAGAACCATAACCACATTATTTTTAAAATTTAAATCAGCTGATTTAATTGTTGAACAATCTAACTGCAAACAGAAATAGGCCTAATTGTGTCATGATGTGAAGTATCATTCATAACTCCAAAAGTAATTCTCTGGCACTTGCACCAATTGTTCTCGTCCTTGTCTCACCTTGTGAAACTCCTCTTTCTCACATGCTAAAAAAACAGCATCAGTTTCGCCTCACACGTGAAATTTTGTATTCCTGTGAAAATCAAATATGCTAACCAAAAAAATATGATAATCTCAATCATTGTCTCACATATGAAACTTGAACACGCACTGGATAATACCACTTTCGGTTCTTGTATTGAAATATAATGCAGTTTAACTTTCTTTAAGCTAAATAATTCACAAAACTTTACTATTTTTGAGTGTAATAGCGTTTTGCTCCTAAATTCAGGGCAACAATACTTTGTACCTTATCTAAGATGAATACTTATCTTTTTTTACCAATTTTACTTAGGCATCCTTTTTAACATGCCTATTATGGTCAACATCGTCCTAAAAGTAGGGTATTTACTCAGGGGAGGTATAGAAGAGGCTACGATGACAGCTGTGGGCTTCTTATTAGCTGAGGGAACGCCATTAGCGTAACAATACGACCTGAAGCCATCGGCCTCGGTGGTCTAGTGGCTAGCGTGCCGGACTGTTATGCTGAAGGTCCCGGGTTCGAATCCCGCCGGTAGCATTAACTTTTTGTCCAAGATTTTTTAATTATCAGCAAGTTTGGTTGGTTTGGTTCGGTTATGACAGTTTAATTTTATTATTAAGTCATTATAAAATTTTAATTGAGCAATTTCTAGTTTTTTTTTTAAACAGAATTATTTTTTCTATTACTAAACTTTTGTTATATTATTTCATTATCAGCAAGTTTGGTTAGTTCGGTTAGGTTATGATAGTTTAATTTTATAATTAAAAAATAATAAAATTGAATTTGAGGCATTTATAATTTTATTTTATGAACAGATTTATTTAGCGATTAGTGCTTCATTGCCAAAGTGCTCTCTACTACAGCGCTGTTATCGGAGGAATTTTGAACTAATGCCTCAATCGTACCTCCCCTAAGTCAGACCCTAAAAGTAGTTACTTATTATCTTTGGTCAAACTAAAAACATGTGTTTTCCCATTATATTTTATTCAATGACTATTTTAATCTTAGAAACCTCATCATCACAAAGCTTATTTGTTTCCTATACCAAAATTTCAATCCAGTTGACAAAATAAATCAGATTTCACAAGTACCCAATCTTTATAACATTTCAATTTAAGACCCAAGCTTCAACTGAAAAGTTGCTGTAATTTCTAGCAGGTTCAAGGCTGACAATTCTGAAATAGAAATAATATAATTTGTTCTCACCCAGTGGCATTCACAGGGTTAAAAAAATACACTAACTATTTCTCAAAAATATACAAACATTATGAAATATTTGTTGTGTCCAGGCCCTAGCCAAGGAGCAGACAGGAAATGTGTTTGTCTCTCCTCTAAGTGTACAGATTGTCCTAGCCCTGGCCTACATGGGAGCCAGAGGCGAAACTGCTAAGGAACTGGCTACTCTGCTGTCTCTACCTGATGATGTGGAACACACCAAAGCAGGATACCACAGTCTCATCAGAGTTCTTCAGGTTAGTAATTCTCAGACACACTTTCATAATTTAGCTGAATTTGTAATACAATTGAAAGTTATTTATTTTAAAGTTATAGGCCTATCTATTTACGTCAATACGGTAAGTACCCAGCTATTTTTTCCCTTGTGTATTTAAAAAGTGTTATCTATATCAAAAAGTCAAAAAATTAATGTGAAAACAGTAGGTACTCTACCAAAAGCCAAAAGTGGACCAGCTTAATAATAGTTGTCAGAAAACTTGAATAACTTTCTTAAAACTTGACTTAATTGACTCAAACTTTCTGGGGACCTTTAAGAGCAGTAAATACAACTCAATTTAAATAGTTTGGCAAGGACAAAGCAACATAAAAGATTTTAAGAGCATGGGTAACACAAACTGAGAAAATTAACATTTCTCAGTTGATTCTAGGCCTAGCATCACGGGGAAAGCCCTGAAATCAACAAAACAACAAAGAAACTAGGAAACTAAGCTACAAAACTGTCCAACAGCCTCAAACTAGGTTCCAAACCCAGTGCAAAAAACGTGCTCACGGCATTTTTACCTAAGTTTCAAAAAAAGGTCCAAACTTACCCATCAATCGTGCTGGGCGCTCTTAATTTAATCCATCAAGAACATTAGCACACACCAGTAGAAAAAACAGCACTGGGAGACATACAAATTTTTAAAAAAATTATGCGATGGTGAAAGATTGCCAAGTTGACGGAAGACACACAACGAAGCCTATCTATCACAAGAGCTCGCAGGGGTAAAAAGAAATGTGTGACGCAAGAGTCGCTGAGGGTCGTTGGAACAGTAACATGGCGAACACATACTATACAAAAAGCAGTTTGACCGTTGATTATGAGTCGTGACATTCGCCGGTGGAAAGTAGTCACTGCTCAGGGGCCTCATAGATTCTAAATACGGCCCTGCAGTCACACACCTCGGAAAATATAAATATTTTTTTAGATGTTTATTTTGTAAATAGTTAACTCTAAGCAATGTTTTATAATGGGATTTGTACTATTTTGTCCAGAATTTAAAGGACTATAACGTTCTATATTTTTATTAAAATCGTTCTGGCCATTTTTGAGAAAATCCAATATTCCCATTATTTTTTGGGGTTTTATGGAAAAATCACAATTAAAAATCAAAATTAAAAAAAACCGCCTGGAGATACCATATATAGTAGGTATATCAACTGCATGTTTCATAATTATTCAATCAATGTTCTATGTTGGCAATAAGTAAATATAAATCATATGTTATTATTAATAATTAAAAGTGTAAATAAGTTATCAACAACATTAGACATTTTTTGTATCAATAAATCTTCCCAAATGAAGCGACCTTTTCAATTATTAAAATCAACTAATACGCGTGCATAAACAAGGCCACGACAAGTTGATTTGGCGACGAGTAAACCTCAACTGCATTTTCAATTATCAATCAGAAACATTTCAACTAAAATCTCATCAACATGGATCAAGAACAATTCAAGCAATTTTTGGAAATGCCATGATAACAACATTGGTAAGTCAACTTTCTACACAATGTTTTAACATAAAGCCAAATGACACTGAACAATCTGAAACAAACTTAACCCTAGCAGTGGCCGATCGTCGTCTGGTGACGATCTGACGTTGATGCTTAGAATGGCCAAAGTCGTCTGGTGACGATCTGGGCCGAAATTTTTTTAGCGGTAAAAAAAACACTTACAATCAACTCAGATGAGAATAATATATATACCATTCGAAAGATCACATTCTGAACTTTCATTTTATTACATAAACAAACCCTGTAGCAGGTATATAACAATGTCACGACGATTAGAAATCAAATGAATTTTTGGCGCGGCACGACTTTTGCAGCCGACACTTGGGAACTGGCAAAACATGTCTTGTTTGCATTACCCTTCTCGGATAATTTTCGTCGTGGGATGTTGCGGGTGGTACCACTGGATAGCCATTGATTTTATCTTCATTGTGGTAGTAATATTTAGAACGAAATATTGATTGCACAACCGGTACAATTTTATGAAAACAGCTGTTTTCGAAATTTTTAACAAATGGCCAATGGTCGTCAGGTGACGATGTGGAAAATACCAATTACATACACTGTAAGTTATTATTACTAGTCATATAATATGTCATTTTGAAGAGTAAGAAATATAGATTGTGAAAGTGGCAGCCATTCGCGCAGGGTTATTTACGTCTGCTCACATATGAAGACGACGGAAGTGAGTCATTACTGCTACAGCTGTCTTGTGTATTCGCCATTGTTTGTTGTTGCCGTGAGTGTTCGCTCTGGTGTTATCTGCGATTTATTACTAAATACGTTATTAGTTCGTAGTGTTAGTGTTAGTGAAGATTGTGTGTGTGTATAACAGTAATCTTCATGCATTTTATTATGCATAAATATTACTGAATTGTGTGAAATAGTGTTCATAAATGGTTATATTTTGTTAGCATCATGTCCAAAATAGTATATTTCGTACCTAGGGCCGAAAATGAGGTTTTGCCGGCTCGAGATAGTTTTTAAGTTCGAGACGAAGTCGAGAACTTAAATCGATCGAGAGCCGCAAAACCATTTCGGTCCGTGGTACGAACGCTATTTTTCACCACACTATACCCTATTACCACTATTCACCACAATAATAATGCACACTGATAGTCAACACAACTACAACTTTAAGGTTATGTGAAGAAATAATTTGAGGAATCAGCAAAAATAAAAATATATAGTTGCTAGGCAACGGTGACAATAACACAATTCTATTGAAATGCTATGGATTTTGATTATGTATTTAAAATGCATTCATGTTTTAAGTAAGTAAGCGGACAGCTGATTTTGCGGCCCCGGCCTGTAAAAACCTGCTCGGTCCCCAAATTATGGACAGCTGGCATCGCCAGCAAAACGTAACTTTCGGCCACCAATTAACGTATGTAATACAGCCAAAAACATGATAGTGTGGTGAAAATGACGATTCTGACATTCAGAGATTGTTGTACGAGCTATATATGCTATCAGGGTGTTGAAAATGTCTGGAACCAACATTATATCTCGTGAGTGGTTAAAGAAAAACAACTGATATTTTGTGTACGGATATACTATGGTTTTACCTATCTTTTAGTGCCTTATGACAATTTTTTCCACTTATGGGGAACGTCCTGTGGAGGATGCAGTAAAAAGTTTTAATAGAAGCCTATAGTAAATGATACATCATTTTAAAGGCCATTTTTTTCTGAGTAAGGAGCCACAAGTTTCATCTCAAAAGGACCACCCTAGCAAAAATGGCGACTGTTTGAAATTTAAAAAACCACTTATAGGGAACGGAATTTTTAAATTTCAAACAGTCGCCATTTTCGCTAGGGTGGTCCTTTTGAGATGAAACTTACGGCTCCTTACTCAGAAAAAAATGGCCTTTAAAATGATGTATCATTTACCATAGGCTTCAATGAAAACTTTTTACTGCATCCTCCACAGAACGTTCCCTATAAGTGGTTAATTAAATTTCAAACAGTCGTCATTTTTGCTAGGGTGGTCCTTTTGAGATGAAACTTGTGGCTCCTTACTCAGAAAAAAATGGCCTTTAAAATGATGTATCATTTACTATAGGCTTCCATTTAAACTTATTACTGCATCCTCCACAGGACGTTCCCTATAAGTGGTAAAAATTTTCATAAGGCACCAAAAGATAGGTTAAACCATAGTATATCCGTACACAAAATATCATTTGTTTTTCTTTAACCACTCACCAGATATAATGTTGGTTCCAGACATTTTCAACACCCTGTATAATGATTTACCCAAGGTGTTATACATTTTTATAAAGGTAAATGAATACACTACAACATGTTTATATTGGTTTGGGTGTAAAAAATTGGGTAAACAAGTTATTTACTAAATACTGTACACTCCATTTTCTCGAAATGCGCAAAAAATTCAAAATGTTCTGAAATTGATACATAATCATAGGTGAAAATAACTTTTTACCATCATACTAATGACTTTTTTGGATTCCTTACTTCATTAGCTTTACAAATATGTACATATCATCAGCCTACATAATGTTTTACAACACAAACAAACACTGTATAGTTTACACTTATTTGCGGTTTTGCGGTTATTGTATTATTATGTCCCTATTACGTACCTACAAAAAAAAATATATCTAACATGTTATACATTTTTATGTAGGTAATTGAATACACTACAAGATTATTATGTTGGTTTGAAGTAAAAAAATTTGGTTCAAAAGTTGTATACTAAATACCGTATGTTTATAGGTAAAAAATTATTTTTACCATAAACTTAATGACTTTTTGATTCCTTACTTCATTAGCTTTACAAACATGTATATATCATTATTAGTATACACATATATTATATAACTTTTTACAACGTAAACTAACACTGTACGGTTTTCAATTTTTTCGGTTCTCCGTTTGTCATTATATTTCGTCCCAAAAACTTATAAAAAAAATATTTTCCTAACATGTTATATATTTCTGTGTAGGGAATTAAATTGTCTACAAAATGTATATAATGAATTTCCCATAAAAAAATCCGTCGAAAAAAAAAAAAAAATACCAAGGCCGCTTTTGAAATTAAAAAAAAAAATTCAAATTTTTTTGTTTTTTTCATTTTACCGATAAAATACACTGTCTAAATCATTATGATATTACTATTTCTAGATTCTCCTGTTCTTTCCAAACAAAATGAATATGAGGTTGGCTAGGTTTACTTGTACGGTTGATTTTTTACGAATTTTCAAAAAAATGTCTGCAAAATCGCCAAAATGGGTTGGCCATTCCCCACTTCTAACATTGGCCACTGCTAGGGTTAACTCATACAATGGCTTATGTGCCCAACTTTGACATTTTTGACGGTAAAAAGGAATCATTCTCAAATTATTATCAACGCTTTGAGAACTACATTCAGATGAAAAATAATCTAACAAAGATTATTGTGCTAAATTGCTCTTGAACTCAATTGGACCAAGCAATTTCAAACTA